ATCGCTAATCCAACTATGGCTAATGGGCAGCGTATAAGCTGCGGCCACAGGCGTAATTTATGAGTTATTGTCCGATAATTATTGGCGAATGAATTTCGCTGCCAATTCGAAAAGTATTTTAATTGATCATCAATCTTTTGGCAATCGTCGAAAAGGGTGGCGAAAAACATGAAAGATTGAATATAAATTTTGCTTTGATTTTGGTTGATGTTTGGCGCATGTTTTGCATCATTTCGCACTCATTTCTTCTTATTTTCATGTTTATTGGTGATATTATTCATTTGGGGGGTGTCGAAAACGTATTATTGAAGTTTCAAGGTTATCAAATAGTTCCTGGAGAGCGCATGGCAGATTTCTACTTGTGTGAGTGTTGGAAAGCGTACTAAACTGACTCAATCTGTGAAGGCATGTCAAATAATTCGTATGGAGGGTGCGTAAAATAGGTTCCAGAGTGCTGTATGGTGAGTTTAAGAGTTGTTAGTGTTGGAAAGTGTGATAAGCTGACTTAATCTGCTAACGCATGTCAAATAAATCGAATGTTAGTGTTGGAAAAGGTGCTAAACTTTACTAAATCGTCTGGAGGGTGCATCAAATAGATTCTAGAGGGCGTATTGCAGAGTTCTAGTTTGGGCAGTGTTGGAAAACGTACCAAGCTCATGCAATCTGTGAACGCTTGTCAAATAAATCGTATGGAGGGTGTATGAAATAGAGCCTAGAGGTTGCATTGCAAGTTCTAGTTTTGCCAGTGTTGGTAAATGTACGAAACTGACGCAATCTGTGAACGCATGTCAAATAAATCGTATGGCTCAATTCGAAAAGCTTTCCTCTTTCGTAATCGCACTCTCGAGAGCGCCTTCGCCCAGGGAGAGACGTGCCCCCATTGAACCCAATTAGTTCGGTCGTCTCGTGAAGCAAATTAATGACCAGGCGTGAGTTAGAACCCGAAAAAATAACACACATAATAATACATTTAACGGCAATATGCGCAAATATGTTCAAACATGCTGAAAGCTGGCAAATGATATTTTACTTGGAACTAGAATAAACACAAGAATTGCGCTGTCTGAACATGTGATGTTTTCACAAATCAAGTCAAAAATATGTGAGGTGGAATGGGGAGGGAATAGGGGTGAAGGGAGGTAAAATGTATAAAAACATTAGCTACCTTTTAGAGGCTACACGCAGTCGTGTAGCAGCTACCTGTACAGGCACATTATCTAATGTTAAATAATGGCCTTAATGGCAGACCAAAACAGACTCATTTTTCGGCGCAAGCGACGCAGCGCCAAATGTATCTGCAAGATACATGTATCTAATGTGCCTACAAGTACGTAGCTGTATGTAACACAGTGGAAAGACGGCTGTAATTAAAAGCGGCAAATGACAGGCACATGCATCATAGACATAGACAGGTAAATAAACAAACCAAATGAACCCACATGAATCTTTTCCAAATGTTCTCTCTGTGTGTGTGTGTGTGTATCGGTGTTTATGGTCCGTAAGATCTATTGATAGATGGCTTTTGTAATAAACATATTGGTCTGGCCGAAATATATATGTATATATATATTTATCTGTGCAAAAAGTGATCTATAGTTGGTCAAGTCCAAGGTTCATCAATTTGAAAAGTTCCACAGTTTAAATAGTATTTGGTTTATATTTACAATTCTCCTGGAATAATACTATACAAATATGTTTAACTGAGCTATTTATAAAGCCTTATATACCCAAATGTATTTACCATCTGCATTATTTTAGGCATTATATGTTTTTCTGTTTCTTTTTTTTTATGGATAATATCGTAGAGCCATATTTAAAATATAAACAAAGCATGCGAATATGTTAAATGGGAACAAATACAAAAATTAAATCTTTTTATATATAATTGCTGAAGGTATTGCTAACTTTTTACCATCTGCTTATTCTGGGCAACATGCGAGTGAATTTATAATATGGAAAGTTTTGCTAAACATTTTCTTACTATTTTTGACACAATTTTAAGACTTTGAGTTCGGAGAATAAAATATAAAAAGGGAACGATCTATTGATTACAGAGATTATACAGAGCTCGATAGAAGAGTTTTCTTAGGTGTAAAGCAATGAGACCTCAGGGTGGAATCTAAGACAAGTTTAGGTACGTAATATTGTCTATATATAAAAAAAAAAATGTATTTTTGATAATACATAATACAACTTTTTATTCAATAGGCAATTTAATATATCTATTTGTCAAAAAAACAAATAGTCAAAATAATTAGTTTTAATAATTTAATACCTATAATATTTAAAAAAATATATCAGGGCAGTAAATTGAAAGAATTATCACTGATTCGATTCGCGGTTCGAAGCAACTTCATAAATTTCGTATTGCTTCGTAAATCTAGTTTTCCACATTCTTGAAACAAGTTTTTGCTTTAAAACTTTGTCACATCTATTCAATTCAATTAAACAATTACATTCTTAATTTACAATTGCGCGCTTGTTCTACTGAAAATATTGCAAGTCATAAATATTTTCATACAAAATGCGCGCTACATTAGTTTTTTAATCAAAGTTTATTAAATTAAATAAAAGTCAATATAAATCTAATATTTGGGGTTCAAGCTATTTATGCTTTGTAGCTCTAAATTTGTTTGATATTGAACCACACCACTTTTTGTTTTTCTTGGCCAACTGTTTTGGTTATAATTTCGATTCATAATAAATAAAGTTAACTGGAACTCCGGGCTTGAACCAGCTTAAATCAAAATCAGTTTACAGTCGTAATATATATGTATATGTTAGAGACGGGATGATTTGTACTCTGCAGCTTATTTCGTAAGTTAGTCAGTCAATCAGTCAACCAGTCAGTCAGTCAGTCAATCAGTCAATCAGTCAGTCAGTCAGTCAATCAATCAACCAGTCAGTCAGTCAGTCAGTCAATCAGTCAATCAATCAGTCAATCAATCAGTCAATCAATCAGTCAGTTAATCAGTCAATCAATCAGTCAATCAGTCAGTCAGCCAGTCAGTCAGTCAATTAGACAGTCTGTCAATCAGTCACTCATTCAATCAGTCAACACAATTAATTTTATATATGTATAGAGATATAAGCATAGTCGTGGCGTTTCGAACTCGTGACTTTATTAAGGAAAGAAGAAATCACTTTCTAATCACATTTAAAATCACATTTTCCATCACACTTTCAATCACAATTTAAATCACATTTTAAGTCAAGCCATATCCGCGTTTGCACGCAATATTTATTGCCTCTTGGTATCATCATTTTTTGCTTAGCCATTTTATTGCTTGTTGTTGTTGTTGTTGCTATTTTATTTATTTATTTACTTATTTTTTCTGCGATGCAGCGCCAACTTTTTCCGGCATTTAAGCATTAAAGCAGCCCCCATTCCCCATCAATTAATCAGCTGCGTCGCCAAAGTCACGTTTTGCATTTCGTAATCGAATATGAATACGTACTCGCATAATGTTACCTGATACAGATACCTAGATAAAGACATATTTATATACATTTATATATAGGTGTATTTGTGGGCCATTTAATGGAGCTGCTTATCAAGCTGATGGACAAGCCGGAGACGGCGGCAGCTGCTTGTGGCAGTGGCACCTTCTTGGCCAGGTCCTGCTCTTAATAATGCATGCAATTTGTAAGGCGTGCCGGCCTCTAATTAAGAGGGCTCTAACTGGGGGAGGGTGAGGGGGGGGGTTGGAGCCTGATCACATCATCAATCTAAAGTACACCTACGTCCAGGCAGCAGTTGGTAGTTGGCTCGCTGACATGGCTCATATAGTTTGCCCCGCCTCTGGCCCCAGTCACCCTTGCCAATTGAGACCAATTAATCATTTATGTTTACAGCGATTTGTGCATTAAAACAAAATCTCATAAATTACGCCACACCTCCCCCCACCCCCGCCTGCCCCCCTGTCCACTTGGCCAAAAGCAAGCAATGAATCTCTAGCTTTTCGCTGATGATGATCAACAGGGAGGAGGTTGGCATGGGCGGCGACTGGGGTGGGCGAGGCGACCTTTGCTGGCGTCACAGCCAAAATGTAGCTGCGAAATGAGTTGTTCATCAGAGAGAGAGAGAGAGAGAGAGAGAGAGAGAGGGGGGGGGGGGTATAGATATATATGCGTGCGCTGTCCGTCAGAGATGCAGAGAGACTCTTGAGGGTCTGTTGACTTTTCGGGCGCGTACGCCATGAATGAAAGCACTTGGCCAAAACAATCAACACTCATTGCCATGCCCCCCCCCCCCTCCCAGCCACGCCTCACACCCCCACCCCCCTGCGACACCCTACCCCATGCACGTTTGTATATTTCTTGTGCAAATATACAAATTTACCAAAGTGGCCGCAAAGTGAGCTAGCAAAAATTTAAGAAAACATAATGAATAATATGTATTCAAGCCGAAGCACGCATACTCTTTATAATTTCAGCAGGGCTGCATTTAACAAAAATGAACTAGTTCGGTTCACTGTTTGAACCTTTGCTGCCTTTGGGGTCGGTTCGTGAACCTGCAGCATGAAATAAAAATAAAATATATATATATGTATAAATTATTCTCAAATTTCAATAGTACTTCACACAATATATGATGTACTAGCTGATATTACCCGGCCTTGTCCAGCCCTGGTTTTTTGGTTGCAACATTAGGCTTCAATTTTCCACGCTTTTTCCACCTACCTTTGCCTTCTCAGACTGAGTTTAGGAATTGGAATCAACGTTCAACGAGCATTAGAAACCCCAGCTGAAGAAGAGTTATTAGACTAAACACAGTAGCATTTGCTTTTCATTTAATATATATTTTAGTATAGTAGTTATAGTTTTAAATTTTTAAACAGTTATCTAGTTATTTTACAAGAGGGGATGCGGGATGATGATGGACGCAGGCTCAGTACCCACCGTTATCGATTAGTTAAATTAATCGGTTGGCTAATGTGTTTCGCCTGCACTTCGATTATATTTTTTTCGATCATTTATTATCATGCCAACTCAAAGCGGGCGATAGCTGAGATTCATCAAGAAGCAACAAAATTATGATTATGTATATACATATATATATATATATAAACTCACTTGATCAAGAAATGGGGAACATTTTGGGAACATTGAAGCGCCGCGTGCAACCAGTTAATATATGAAAGTAAAGAACTCTGTGCCGTACCACATCGAGGAATTTGTTTCAAGCTTATGACGACGCTTGCTTCATTCAATATATATTATAACTAGCTGGCATTGCCCGGCCTTGCGCGGTCCAAGCTTGTCGCTACCTGCTGAAGTCTAGTCAAACGAACTTCAACTCTCCAGTCAATTTCTATCAAGAATTTTGGAGTCAACATTTTGGACCTGAACGTAGTCTCAGCATAGTTGCCTTTTCTTAACATTCCAAAAATTACTAGTTTTACAAATTTTAAGTTTCTCCCGTTATTGACAAGCAGCATGCAATGCGACGAAGGACTGGGAAGCACTTTGCCCTGGTGTCATAAATGTTGTGTCTGGAGTGTAATTTTCTGTTGCCTTTTTAGCATATTTATAGGTCTCGGCGTTGCGATTGGTTTGACGCGACAATATGAATACACACTTTTTTAATAGTTTTATAACCGTTACCGTTATATAAATATATATATTAAATGTGTGCAAGAAGCCAAGTAAAGCGGATCGGATCGATGGACTTTATCGTATAGTGAAGATAACATTTTTTCATATGCAATATATCTTAACTAAAATTTGCTTTTCACAGTTTTATCGGGCGACTATATCATATAGCTCTATTATGGGAAGAATTCGTTTGCGGCTGACATTTTGTAAGGCAAAGTTTTCTGTTTGGTAAAACATCAAAAAGCCCCACAATTGCTCAAGATTTTATACCTAAGATCGCAGATATAATAATAAAAATAGACTTTTTACAATTTCAATATGCCCCACCCGGCCACATTCAGCTTACAGGGTATGCGGCTGGCTGCTGTCGCAAGCGCAATCACATTGTTGCACATGCCGCACGCGGTTAGTGTATGCGGCAAAGGCAACTGGGCAGCGATTCGGGCAACATTCAATGGCATCATAATATTTTTACGGGCCATTTGCGTTATCTTTATGGATTTTGTATAGCCGCTGACAATGTGGGGTAAACCCCCCTTTCCGCACCGCCCCCCCTCTGTGCTCCATGGACAGCAAGTAAAACATTTCAATTGGCCGCTTAGCTACTTTGTTTATAAATAAACGTAATTTGTTGCATGTGGTAATCAAAGCAAGCAACTTGTCGCAGCCACTGTGATAAATGTGGCCACAGTTGGCCGCTTCCGACTGTGACCTTGGCCGGCTTTTCTCCAGCTGCTGCTGCTGCCAGCGGAAGCGTGGCATGCCACATGCCTGGTCTACAATCCAGCTAATAAATGCAGCGCCCGCTGGCCATTAATTATGCCCGGCCACCAAAATGCAGCTCGCATAGCCAAACGGGAGCATTTGTGGCACAACTCGAACTCGAACTCGACTCGACTCCACTTTGGGGCAGCCAAGCGCATTACCTGTTGACTCATTAGCCGCCAACTGGCAGTGCGGTTCTCACACGTTTCTGCGTCGCGTTAATGAAGAATCGCCATGAAAACGATAACGAGTCGCGAATGCTCGACCGGAAGATGCCCTGTACCCAGGCAAGCTATACAACATTTCGTATATACGAGTAGCTATATTCCAAATTTTGTGTCTAGCATTTGCTATCTAAGAGTTTTCCTTAAAAATCGATATAATCTAATAATCGATAGTTATCGATATTTATCGATTTCGATGGGAAGAAAGACGCGTGCCATAGGAGAGCCTACATTGAAAATGTGGTGTACCTTTCTCTTATAAAAAAACTCTGCAAATCGATACTTATCGATTATTGGGAAATGGGGGAGCTATCGATAATCCAAAATATCTACAAATGATCTACACGTGCCATAGCAGAAGCTTAATTCTAAATTTAGTCCTTCCCGCTCACGCAATCTACGAGATTTCCTCAAAGAAAATGCTAAATCTTTATCGATTCTTTTTATTTAGAGGCAATGTAAAAATATCGATTAATATAAATTAACTTAAAATGCATTCCAAATTATAAATAACTTTTAAAGCATCTGAGATGGACGCGTTTATGCTCATGGCAAGGCGAACAGAAGGAGAGGCAGACACAGACAGTCAGAAGAATAGACAGACCTGGCCAAAACGACTCGACTGTTGATGCTGGTCAGGAATATATATGCCTCATAAATACCCCATAACGCCAAAAAAGTCATCTACTGCCCGTTACAAACATTACTATGCAACCAATATACCCACATTAGGGCATTTTTCAAGGGTGCTGGGTATATTAAAACCCTAACGCATTCGCATTGCTAATAAGCGGTTGCGGCTGCAGCACAAAATGCAGCCCCATCTGCAGGCAGACGCAGCAGCAGCAGCAGCAGAAGCCGCCGCTAACACCACGGGCAAGTGCCATATCATTATCGCTGCTCGCTGCCGGCGTCGCTGCCACGCTCCCACTCGCACTCTCTCTTCAAGGCACGCTCTTTGGCCGTCTCCCACGATGCGTTGTTCTCGCTTGGCTTTCTTTTCTGTGGGAGCTTCGTTTATGCTACGCTTCGGCTGCGACGGCGTCGTTCGGCGTCGCCGCCGACGACAACAAACACAGCGTGGCGCAGCAGACCAGACCAGGCGACGACGACGACGACGCCGACGCAGAGTTCAGTTAGGATTGAATTGTGTAACGGTGCGGTTGGTCGTTCTCGCAGCGCCCCTTCAACTCGCTACGCAAACGCGCGCGTTTATCGCGCGACTATTTCGGCGCGGCTTTTAACGTTTCTATTTGGTTTTTTTCTCCCTTCGGGCCGTCCGTTGACTCAAAGACAAAATAAATTCAAAAAATTAAGATAAAATAAATGTAATTAATTTGAAAACATGCTGTTTGTGACGTCTGTGCGGGTTATTTTCACGGCTGCTCAAGTTCAAGTGCTCACAAATTCACAAATTGGCCAACTCATATTTTTGTTGCCGTCGAATGTTCACAAACAAAATGCCAATTGCTGCTGCCAGACATATTTGTTTACATTTATCCAATTGCGGTTTAGTTATATGTATAAACATCTGAAAATCTGTTGTATAAAGCAACAAAACCCGATGTTGGCCCAAAGAAATTCTTGCAATTTCTGTTCTTGTTGTTGTTGTTATTGTTGTTTACAAATGCGGTGACAGCCAGATCTGATCAAAAGTCAAATATTTTTGGCACGAATATTTTTATATGATAAGGAGGGGCTCTGAGTCGCTTGAAAGACATCATTCTTATAGAATGGCAACATGAAATAAGTTCTTTGGAATTTGTTATGCTCTGGCTTGAAGAAAATGGCTTTCATTAACATTTTTTATTAGTTCATAACTGATAAGCGCTTTTTAGCTGTCTTTTTATGGCCCAAAGCTACTTTATAACTGTATTAAAACTTTAAAGTGTTTTATAACGATGTTTCTGATTTCGCTAAGCTTAAATATACCTATTAAACACAATTTAAAGCTGAAAATAACTAAGAAAGGGTTAATAAATTAAGTGCGGAAGATAAATATCTTTAATAACACATAAAAGACGGAGAATAACTTCTATGCTTAGCAAAAGTCAAAACTACTTAATTTGCATGGGATTATCCCGATAGGAGTTACTATATGATATGATAGTTCGACTTTAATAAGATTTATGACGTAGTTCTTGAGTTATTGAGAAGGTATTCCTTTCTGAATTTGCTTAAGATAACATAAAAAGTATTCCCACTATTATATGTTTTATAATTCCTATAGGATTTTAATAAGATTAGCCCAATATAAGGAAATGCAGCGAGTAAAGGAGTCAAATTCTCAGATATCTCAAAAGAACATAAAAGCTGTTCCCACAAAAAGCAAATTAACTGCCAAATCTTCCAGTGAAGAACAATTTATATAAAAAGAGTAAGAACAAAACTGGGAACAGTTTTGTGCAAGGCAGCTTCGTTTGGTAGGGATTACACTGTACATATATATTTTTTTTTATGGGGTCGAAGATATTGCCTGCACATTTCGTGACAAGGGTATAAAAACTAAGAGGATCTTAATTGACTTGCCAACATTTTGGTTTATTTTTGCACCCAGTATATGCACACATACACACAGACACACACTCGCACTCATATATATCAAAGTGCATCAGCCGGCTTTGTCATTTGTTGCGCCTCTTCTTTATTTTGTGTTACACATTGTGGCCAGATTTCGCGGAACCGTAATCTCCCCTCCAGCCCCGCGCCGCCCTGCCCAGCAGAGTGACGAGCGTAAAGCTGAAGCAAAAGCTAAAGCTAAAGTAATGTGCATGCAAGGCCGTAATAATTCACAAAGCGCAATGCAATTTGGCATTTACATACACACACACACACACATACATACGTAAAGTAAAGTAACAGTTGCAAAAGAAAATAATTCTTTTTATATGTACATATATAAATTTTAATGTGTGTGCGTGTGTCTGCAAGTCATAAACTAGAAGCTGCTTCTCCTGCGCTGTCATGACAACAGCCGCAGCTCAACTTCCAAGCGGGGGGCTGCTCCTCTCTCGCATATGTTAATTATCTACCTTGGGCGATGTTATCACTGGGTTCGCTGCTCACTGATTCAATTAGTGGCTGCCATCTACACGCATCATTTATAAACTGACTTTTATTTAGTTAAGTTTATGTGGGACAGTAGCCGCAGTCAAGTGCATAGAATAGTGCACTCATTGTTGTTGCTACTGTTGTTGTTGTTGTTGTTGTTGTTGTTGCTGCCGTAATCGCATTAAAAGTCATTTAATCGAAAGCGAAAAGAGAGCGCGCTTACGTCGCGTGGGTGAGTGAGCGCGAGCGCGAACGCGAACGTTTGAGCTTTGAACTGCACTCACTCTATCATGCACGCCATTTCGCTCTTGCTCACTCTCTCACGGTCTGTCTCACACGCTCGCACACCTTGCGGCTGAGCTGGTAGCTCATAATTGAGATTTGTTGCACTCCGCCGTTGACTTTTATGCGCGCTTTTATTGTTTATTGTTTATTGTTTATGGCGCAACATGTTCAATTATAGTGGAAAATTGGATTTTGCTCTCCCGGCTGGCGAAGAGGGTCAGCGCGAAATGTGCCACGGCAAGAGACCAGCAGCAAGACAGATAGCCCGACAGGCAGACCGACAGCTCTGTACACTGCAATTGCTTGTCGCCTGGTGGAGAGGTGAAGGAGGAAGGGGGGCGGGGGAGGGGGAGGGGGTCCCCTCTCTCAAATGTCGCTTTGTCGCCAAAAGTTTTCCAATTGCTCGCATATAAATGAAAGTGACTTTGGTGCTTATCAATTGTAATTGTTGGCTGCCCTTGCCGCTATCCCAGCCCAAATTCCCCTTCCTTCCCCCCACCCTAGCCTGCCGCTTGGTCTAACCTAACCTAAAAGCTGCCAAATTCTGCGGGCAACAACAGGCGCCGCGTGTGTGTGTGTGTGTGTGTGTGTGTGTGTGTGTGTGTGTGTGTGTGTGTGTGTGTGTGGAGCACTTTCTGGCTTTTAATTACATTTATCTGGCAGCAAAACTTTGGCAGCGACTTTTACGCTTTCTGTTGCCGCCGTGTTCGTTATGTTTCCATACGCCTTACATCCCCCGGCTAGAGGAATACGCCGGAATAGTGTACATATTGTATTCGTTGATATTTTAGCTAAACATTTTTCTTTGTAACTAAAACTTTATTCGCCAAACCAGGCAGCATAACCTAAAATTGGTTAAAGGACTGGCATCAAATTTTAAATCAAATATTATGTTGGTTGCCCAGCAATTAAAACTTTTAAGAGTTTAGATTTTAGGAAACGGATTTGGATGGGAAGTTGACTTTTGAGTGGGCAATTTTGTTTTAGTGTTT